TTTAGGGGTTAAGCTGAACGCGGATGGAGGATGTTTGAGCGCTGTTACGGCATGAGTTTATGTGGGATGGATGAAATTTAGGGAATTGGGTGAGGTATTGTGTGGAAAGAAATGGTCAGTGAAGATGAAAGGGAGGGTATATAAAGCATGTGTGAGAGCAGCGATGGTATATGGTGGTGAAACTTGGGTGTTGAGAAGAGAGGAGGAAGGTGTACTGCAGAGGGCTGCAAGAGCTATGGTGAGGATGATGTGTGGGGTTAAAGTGAAGGATAGGAGAAGTAGTACAGAGATTGGAAGAGCTGATGTCGATGATGGGACTGAATGAGGACATTGTGACATTGATAATGTCTCAAATATAAACTTCATTCCCAAAGCTACAAACTTGGGTGTCATTTTTGATTCTAAACTGGCAATGACTGAACATATCAAGTTTTTATCTGGTACTGCAACCCTACAACTGCGAAAATTAAAAATAATCCGCAAAAGCTTAACCAAAGATGTTATTCAAAGTTTAGTGCATTCGTTTATTCATTCTAGACTGGATTACTGCAACAGCCTATTTTATGGTTTGCCTGAAAAATCGTTATCTGTGCTTCAGTCAATTCAGAATCGGGCAGCTAAGATCGTGGTTGGTGCAAAAAAGTTTGACCATGTCACCCCGATATTCAGAGAACAGCACTGGTTAATGGTCAAAAAAAAAGAATTTTGTTCAAAATATCAACAATCATGTTCAAATGTATAAAGGGAATGGCGCCAGTTTATTTGAAAGAAATGCATGCACCGAAACAACTGTCTTTTAAAAATGTCTGCTTAAGGTCTGATGATAGCAACTTGTTATGTGTGCCCCAAACTAACTTGTAAATGGCTGAGAGAAGTTTTTCAGTATGTGGACCAGCCATTTGAAATAGTCTACCAAGTCATCTAAGACAGCCCGAACTGACAGAAAAATTGTTCAAGAAATTATTGAAATCATTTTTGTTTTCATTATAAGATTTTAAGATATGGTTTATCGTAGCAATTCAAATGTTTTTTTTTAGACAGTGCTTTTGAGAAACATTTTGTTTGTAATTAGCGCTATACAAATTTACGAATAATAATAATAATAAGGAAATCGAGATTGCGGCGGTATGGACATGTGTTGAGAAGGGATGAAAGATTTGGGTTTAGGCGAGCGTTGGAGTTCGAGGTTGAAGGAGTGATAGGAAGGGGTCGTCCGCGATTGGGATGGAGAGAGCAGGTGAAGAAGGACAGAGTGAAAGCGGGGTTGCGTGATACTGAGGCGAGTGACAGATGTGAATGGCGTCGAGGGGTATTTCGGTTTCATCATAGGTAGCCAAACGGCAACCCCCGATCTCGGGGAAAATGTCGTCTAAACGTGTGTTGTTGTGTTGTATGTATATATGTACATATATATATATATATATATATATATATATATATATATATATATATATATATATATATATATATATGTGTGTGTGTGTGTGTGTGTGTGTGTGTGTGTGTGTGTGGTGTGTGTGTGTGTGTGGGTGTGGATGTGTGTTAAGAAAAAACTTAAATCGCGTTCGTTGTAGCAGTTTTCACAAACGCTAGCAGATTTAGCATAAGTGTTAAACATGAATTCAGAAATAAAAACGCGGAAACGATCTTAAACCGTGGCGTTAAGTTTTAATTTATATATCTTGTAAGTCGGGTACTTAGAAAATAATATAAATCAAGACTTGTACATTAACGTGCAGATTTTCAAAATATTTCTATATTTTATCGGTAGCTAGTTCAAGAGAACAAGATATGGAGATATATGAGAACAAATAGTGGCACGAACAACTAGACGAGCAGCAGAGCTAAAAGCCTTACTTAAAAGATAGAATGTAAATTCAGGAAGACCATATTAGAGCGAGTTACAATACTCAATCCTAGATGAGACTAACGAAGTAACAGAAAGGAGAAGAGCAGTTTCCTCAAGAAAAGGCAAACGTTTTTTTATTCTACGTAGATGAAAGTAAGAACTTCTAGCAACGCTATTAATCTGAGAAGAAAGAGACATACTAGAATCAAAGATAAAGCCTAGACTACGATACTTAGGAAAAACATCAAGAGTTTTAAAATCAGGTAAGATAATAGAAGGAATATTAATAGTGTTTAGATTTATTAACATTAATTTGTACATAGGATTTAGTTTAAGATACATTGAGTCACATTGAGCGACAATAGAAGAGATAAATAGTAATTTTATATTTAATAATAAATAAATGAGACAAAATGTTTTAATGCTGCTTGTGCAACTGTAAGAATAGAAGCATTACAAACGATGCATCTTTTGACACGCCTATGTTACAAATACCATTATAATTGTTATACTTTAACAATACGATCCATAAGTATTCTTTATTTCGATTTTACACTATATTAAACTTTTTTTCGTTCCCAGCACCTGACGAGTAATAATGTTTTGACTGAGCTGCATAATCATTTGAAGTCAGTTTGTTAGTTATTTGATTTTAAAATCACGTGAGCTTCGACAGGTGCACCGCAACAAAATGCAAAGTGAATTCTAGGTAATATAACATTAATTTTTGTGCAAATAATAAAAAAAATGAAAAATGCTGACAATAATGTTTTTGGGAAACGTTAACAAAAAACAAATCGACAATAACTGTTCGTCCATAGTTAGTGCAAAAAAATTGCATTTTGTGTATTGTTCCAACACTAGGCATCCCATTCATTAGGTGCAGGTGGATAAATTAAACGGTTGAATGTAAAAATATTTTTAATTTAAAAAAACTTTTTTATTTATTTTATTTCCATTTTAATTGCTATTTATTTTTTACTATGATAGCCTACAAATTTGCTTGGAGCGTACCATTGAGCATTGCGTTGAATTTTGACGGTCCTATAGTTTCTGATTCGTTTTGAAATGCATTATTTGATAGTTTTATAGTTGAAAATTTGATTGAAGTGATTTTAACACACTTCAAAAGGCTAAGAACTTTTGAAATTGACGCATGATGCTGATAAGGAACAAGTATTCGCAGAGTTCACTAAAACTCTTTGATCAGTCGTTGCAAAACAAAGTGTCCCAAATTTGTTACCATTAGCTTCGATCGAAACGTTGAAACTTATTTAGAGCACGAATTCAATGTTTTATAGTGGATATAATGTTAAACAGTTCACTAAAATTAAAAGATCACTTTGTGTTATATACAAATGTACAAACAGACGTATATTTCATTGGGACAATAGTTATTAGACATGGAAAAAGAACAAATGAAGTTATTGAATACGTTGCTTATATCACTTTTGCTGTCAACAACTTCATCATGAACAGTTAAGCAATCTGGACATTTATGACTGATGTTTTTGTTTGTGAAGTTATTGACGACTTTCTAAGTTCGTTTACTATCATCTTTATTTTTCTTCAATTGATCAGAAATATAGCGTTTTCTACCTACCGTTTCAAAGAAATAAAGATATTTTTGTATTTAGGGTAGAGTAATTTGTTATTAATGGTAGGATTTTTTTAAATGAAGAAAACAATTTATTTTTATGATTAGAGACCCTTAGTGAACTTAGGTAACTTTTTTGTTTTTCTTTAATAATATAAATGAACATGTAGATGAAATAACTTAGTTGAATAAATTGATCAATGAAGAAAAAGTCTAGTTTGAATCATTTATAGAGAGAATGCAGTTCAATCAAAAACAGCCAATGAATTGTCAAAATGCTGGATATTAGTTTCAAAAAAATTATAAATTTTAGGCTTTTCAAGTTTAGCAAAAGTGATAGGAAGATGTTGATTAAAAATGAAGATTGAAAGATGATCTGAAAAGTACATATAGAGGATGCCAGAAAAATATGCTTGAAAATTATTAAAGAAAAAATATTGTCGAGAAATGTTAACGAGTAAATGCTATACGTGTTGGTTTGCTAATCAATGGAAAAAATTCAGTAAACTTTCAAATTTAGAAAAATCAATAATTAAGTCACCAGCCACATATATATATTTTTGATGTGACTTCAGTTGGGCTTCGTCAATTGCGGAAATAATAGATTCAATGAAATGATCAGGATTAATAGACACAAAGAACGCGCAAAAACTTAACGGCTCTCTCAAGTCTGTCTATGTACCGGCTCAGCACTCTGTTCATCCAGTTAAGTCAAAACTCGGTCTAGCAGTGATCAGGGATCTTGAAGGAATTGTGTCACGCTGGGCCGAGCACTTAAGTAATTTGTTGAACTGCCTCAACCTGGTGGAACCGACATTTATAGAAGCCCTTCCAAAACTCCCGGCTGTTGTTGAGCTTGATTGATAGCTCTTCTGCTCTAAACAAGTTTTGTCAGCCACCAAAAAAATGAAAAAGCACAAAAGTCGTGGCCAGACGGCATTCCTGCAGAAATATACTAATATAGTGGTCTCCGTCTATGTCAGCGGCTGCATAATATAATTCTTCGAATGTGGACCACCGGCATAGTACCACAGCAATAGAGAGATGCAAACATTGTGATCATCTATTAAAAAAAAGGTCAATAGGTCAATAGACAATTTCCACAATTTAAAAAACATATTATTGATATTGTTATTCTAAAATCAAAGCGGTTGTAGCACCACCGATATGATTTTTGCTGTACGCCTCTTGATGCAAAAGTGCGTGAACAGAAGCAGGATCCTATCCAGGTCTTCAATAAAGTACTCTCCCTTGCTAAAAATCAAAACAAACCAGCTACACCTTTTGTGGTTGATGGAAATTTTTTCAATGATTTGCAGGAATTCATGTCTTTTGGTAGTGTGCTTAGTACTGATTGCTGCCTGGATCGCGAAAATGAGCATCGCATTAAGGTGGCGTCGGCAGAAGTGGGAATTTTGACAGATTGAAATTTTTGTCAAAAATCCCACTTCTGACACTAATGTTGTAACCTTTGACGTTTGTAACTACCAACACCAATGTTATAACACCAATGTTATAATTCAAAGATTTCTATTTTTCCAGCACTAGTGTTGTAGCCTCTAACGATCGTCAAGTGTTTGTTATTCTGTAGGTTCAAGATTTCAGATAGATGAACACAACTGCTTCAAGCGTGAACTTTGTTGAACGTTTACTTGAATGCAAACATTAATAGAAACAATAAACTATATAAATAACTATATAAATCACATTTTCGACTTTGCTTCAAACCTCTCTGGAAATTTGACTTCTCTGCTCGAAACCTGACTAAAAACCTATTTCTTCGCAGGATTTTATATAGGATCCAATGTGGATTTTTACGATCTACAGATTAAAAAAATCTTCTTACGATCTTTTATCCAAAAATTACAAATATAGCAAAAATAACAATAATTAAGATAAAAAACATTATAGCGCAATTCGATCATTCCGGCGATTTATAACAGTATTGTTACCTTTAACTTCTGACTTTCAAATTCGGATTATTAAACATTTTGGATGATGTTCAAATTTTTGATTAAATATCATTTAATTTTATAATAGTGGAAATTTCAAAAACGTGATGCTATATTATCAGAAAATTATTCCACTCCGGCCTATTCAAGTAAAAACAACAAAACAAAAGAATAAATTCCCATCACAAATCTCTATTTTTGTAAACGCTTGCCTTGATGAAGTGCAAATTTATGTAATCAAATCAAGTTAATCCACTTTTATAACTAATTCTCACCAATGTGAATTGTGGTTTCATGTTTCAATCTTTTGATATCTCAATCTCAAGGCCATTGTATAGTATACAAATTTATTGGTCATTTTTGGTGACATCGCGTGTTAAATGTCCGATTTGGAGCTGCCATAGTTTCTTTAACTTTTATTTAAATTCAGAACTGCAAAGTAATCTGGAGTCAGTTTTCTTTCTGTCTATTACATTATTTGTGTTTTGGGTTAGTGGATTCAATGAATAAGTTTAATTTTTCGTCATTGATCTAGACTTCAATTTTAGTTTTTTTAGTAGAAAGTTTTGATTTTTTCCTATAGAATATAAATAATTTTGATTTCATCGCTTTTGTGGTTAAAAAAGCGTTCTTCATTATCCGTGGCACATTACTTATATCATACGTACTGTGTCCCTGGAACCGACGTTGTACACACGCTTTAGTTTAATGAGTGCAGAGCCATGACTAATTCTGTATGTGTTGTATGGATGCAATTTACATTGGGTGAAGAAGACCAGGGTGAAGAAACGTAAGTAAGGGGTGCTTCAGTACAAAACCACTGTCTTCAATGGCAACATTTGGTAAAAATTGTGAAATGTTTTTCAAGCTCTTCCTTTGGCAAAAAATGTCTGATATGCCACTGCCAGTGTTTAAAGTTGCGCGCAAAATGTTGTGCGCTGTTTTATAATTATACAAAACTAACAACAGCTGAAAGAATAGATTATTTCATAGTCGGCTTGAGAAACGACAATTTGAATATGATTAGAGGTACATATTACTTTTGTGGGCAATGTCCAGCAAAGGCTCAAATTTCAACAAAGCACAAGTTGAAGTGCAATGCCTTCCTCCCTAAACAACGATACTTGATTGTCCAGCAAGCTGTCAATAGTGGTCAACTGGAAATCTACCTAGCTTATCCAAAGTCTGGTGCGTTTTTGAATATTTTTTAATGTTTTACTTTTAATATCAATCTTTGTTTTGTTGTGTTTATATAAATATTTGGTACAAGTTAGAAACAATATGATACATTTTCTTATAATTCTGTTTATTTATTTATAAATTTAGAGCAAAATTTTTGAGTAAACGCTAACTGGCGTAAGTGATAATGTTCGATTATTTAACTTTTTCAAAATATCTCAGTCATTTTTACATTTGTTCTGTACAAACTCCTTTACCTAATATTTCATTTTCGTTATGCTAGCGTGATACTTTGACTATAAAATTTTCCAAATCCAATTTATAAATTACATACTGCAATTGTTCATAATTATCAAATCCAGTGCAATAATGGATGTTCATATGCTAGACTGCTTCCCAATTAATTTAAGCTCATAAAAGGAAAAAAATCGAAAATTGTAAAAAAATATTTGCAAATCCAAACTAAACTATTATTATCCGATGACTAACAACATCAATTACACCAGCTGCAAATAATACTTTCAGTGCTGTAACTCAAGTTGTTACAATCGCTAAAAAATAATTTAAAAAAAATTAAGATTTGACATTGACATCCTGGATGAAGCAGTACATGGATGAGCCGACGAAGACATACAGCGTCATGTTGCTCGGTAACGTGTTGCACGAGACGAGGAGACGCAGTTTATTGGACTGTGTGGTTCTGTGCAGCGTTGAAGCGTCGAGGCAATGTGACTCGTTGAACTACTGCAAGTCGTCGGGCCTCTGCCAGTTGAACTCCCACAAGTATGGCTACCAAAGAACCTCCATTCAAATTGTCAACGATGATACATGTCAGTGGATACTTCCAATGTTTTTTTTACAAGTTAACTACATCAAACATGCCATTGCAATCAATGATGTTTTCAATTAAATTAAAATAATATTTGAATTATTTGTTTAAATTGGAAAAACGTAGGTAAACAACTAATTACAGTTTTTTTCCACAATTAACCTGCATTCTACTAATTTTTTAAAACTACAATTCTACAATTCATTATATATATATATATATATATATATATATAATGAATTGTCATTATATATATATATATATATATATATATATATATATAATGAATTGTAAAATTGTAGTTTTATATATATTATTAACATATGCCAGCTTAACGTTTCAAATTATTTACTATCTTTCCTTCATAAAAAATTCATGAAGGTATCTGCTGGCCCCTAACAACAATGAGAGCCCAGACTGACGTATGGCTTGTGTTGATGTATGTGTTCAGAAATGAAATATAATAATTTATTAATTTTATGAACTCTTTTTTTATGTGTTATTATTATACTTTAGGTCAAGTAATAATTAGGAGCATTATTTTTTTGTATTTTCTTAATTTTCGTTTAATATATCAATTAATTTGAGTTTCTTTATAGAGTAAATACGTTGTAACTTTGAATGTAAAAATTATTTAATGATTTTCATTACAACTCAATGTAAAATTTCAGTAATTTTAATTACACTTCTTTATTCCAAGACACTTAATAAAACAAATGAATACTTAATATGTCTTTAGTCATTAATGAATTCATTTATTTTTTGAAATCATTATTTCAGTTTTCCAAAAGTAACACTTTTTATTCTGTTTATTTATTTACATACTTTTCTAATATTATCTTGCATGTCGTAACAAATTCTACGTCTGTCAGATTTTGATTTTAAAAAAATATTTTCATTTTCTCAAGCCATATCACACCTTGAAACAAAAAATTTCAATGTAGATATTTGGGATGTTGAGTATGTATTGTGTGCTACTATTTTTAACATTTATGAACATATTTTTAAAGTTACTTTCTTTTTCCTCCTCTTTTCAAATTTTTTAAACTCAAACAAGTTTATATTTGTTAAATTAAAAAATTAATTTATTTCAATTTTTAACCCTTCTATTTTAATAAACGAACTAAAGAAAAAAACATGTTTTGTCACTTATAATAGGAATTTCAAAGTAGAGCCAATCACTATATACTTCATTTTGAATTTATTAATAATTTCACACTAGCAGAAATTTGATAATTTATATTTTTACATCACTCACTTACAGCGAGATGGAAGGGGGAAAGTCTGGAGTAAGTTCTGGTAAGGTTTTGGTAATGAGCTGAAGTTTCAATTAGCCTTCCAAAAAAGGACTTTCAAAATTTACTCAGAACTACTTATTAAATAAATAATAGCCGGCAACATGTCAGTTTCGTAGAACCGGGCCAACTAAACCAAATTATTCAATAATAAAGACATGGCGAGTGACATAACTGGTCCTTTGAAGTACATTAATGTTGGAACTCATCATGTTTTCCTGTCTCACATTGAGAATGAATGAAAATGTAACTTGACAACATTTAACCACCCACGTCATTTCTACTTTGCGTCGATGGTAAATACTTTGATGTGATTATAACAGAGAATGAATATTTTAAATGATTTTAAATTACGTTTTTTGTAAATTTTCGACACACATAAATGTAATCGTAAAATTTAAACATAAAAGCTGCATAAGTGTAGTTAGTAGATGTAAGGTTTCCACATAAAATTTTACTTGGAATTGACCTAATGTATCTCTTCCATTAAGTATCGCTCTAATTGAAAAATGAGAAGCAATGATGTCGCGCATGCATGCCTATCATTGATGCTGAAAAAACTCCAGTTGGGTGATCGTTTATGTTTTAAAAATACAGTTTTATTACGAACTGCTTTCAGGTCAAGTTCATATCAAACACTTCATTTCACATCCTTTATGTAATTCAAAGTGTTTAGTGTAGGTAAATAATAAAATATATTCTCATTAATGTTATTTATCTTCTAAAAATTTTTCAACAGCAAGTGCTTTTAAAACATTATTTAAACATACTTTTGAGGTTACCTATTATTATAAACATAAAAGTTTTTAATAATGGCATTTTATTTATTCAACAAAAAATTCTCTAATCTTTCAAATTTACGATTGTTAAATTTTTCAAAAATTCTTGACTAAACAGATGAATTTAAAAAAAACAATTAAATGAAAAGTTTTTTAATAGCCGGAAAGTCAATGAGGCAGGTTTGAATATTGGCTATTAAAATTACGCTTTTTTGCGTTACATACTAGCGATATCGTACAATTGTTATCACGTAAATGTTAACGAATTCATGTTAAGTGAGCAAGTTATAACCAAAAGTTTCGAAATTTGTATGAATATGAAGAACATCAACACTAATCATAGCCGTGACTGCAAAAAACAAGCAAAAAATATTACTCTTCAAAAGATTGTCAATAACAAAATACCAAACTATGAATGTGTCTTTAAAAAATCAAATTAATCTGAATTGTTAATTAAAATATTTTTATTCAAACTAATTAAGTTATATGTCATTTCAACCAAACTTATCGAAGATATATAATAAATCTGAGTATCTGATGTAAAAGTGAGTTCCTGGATTAATTTCTCATTTTTTAACAGTTTGGATTTTTTTGAAGTTAGTGCAGTGAGTAATATTTTCAGTCTCATTGTTTTTTGTATATTTTTTGGAAAAAATAGGGCTTGGCTATTTCAAGCGATTAAATTAATTTATAAAATGTAAGCAGAAAAATTAAAGAAGAAAAAACAACAAAAACAACAAAAAAATATGTAGTTGCAAACAGCGCGTTGTTCGCTGTGTAGCAGTTTTGGGTCAAATAATTATGATTTAAGAAAAACATAGATGCGGAGTGTTTGCGTCATTTCCTTGTTGGTATCACTTCATTGTCTCTCACTGTTATTATTTAGTATTAAGGCGTCAAGTTGGTAATGATGTAATCATTCTTTGTTGTATGTTTATTCAGGTAAGATCGTGTGCATTTGTCGCTAGGACGCTGCTTCCGATGAAGTATGATGGTCAGTAAATCAGGATATTAAATGTAAGGGCAGGGGCGTCACTAGGGGGGTGCGGGGGGTGCGGACCGTACCGGGTGACACCCTCACAAGGGGTGACACCAAAATATTACTGTATATGTTTTTATGTCCCTCCATGAAATTATTCTTAGCATTGATTCAGCCTAACCCGCCCAGCGCCCAGAAATGTATTATGAATAAAATTTCTTTCGTTCAAATCATCCATTTTTGTATTCCACGTTTATACCATTTGACGTCCGAATTATTAAGCGCCGCGCACATTTAACTTGTTCGTGTCTAACATAACGTACAACAGTGTTTGTTTTGCCCACCTACTACGCGCGTGTGTTAGTCAAGTTTAAGAGAATAACACTGGTCAACACCCAAAAAATTTCCTAAGGTCTTTCGGCTGATTTATGGAAATTTTGATGTCCTGAATCCAAATATCACATTGGTTTTTCTAGATCAGGTCAACTTTCTAAGCTATGGCCATATCTTCATTTTCACTTTTTTGTGTACAGTCCCAGGTATTTTAGCTGTATGTGATGCTTTGTTCTTAATCACTTCATCACTATGAGGAATTTGCAATTTTTAATTAATTGGTATTTTTATGTTTCCCCTATGCACACACACACACACACGTTCAATGCATTAAATCACGTAACTACAGTCACGTGATCAGACAATCGCAGACATGCCCGGACGAGGCTGTGTATAACTATGGATAGTTACGTCAGCATTTTCCAAATCTGAGCCATATAGCAGATTGCATTAGTATAGGTATCAGTTGCAAACGAATCGCAAGCGAACGACATGGCTTCCAAGAGAAGATCTTGTAAAAATAAACCCGACGTATTTTGCTATATCTTCGGTGAATACACACTTGTTCATAACAGGAATCAAGTCACATGTTTCATAAAGCGTGCTTACCATGCTTATTTTGGTATTAAACTTGGTGACCAGGATAAAGATTGGGCGCCACACATGGTATGCAAGGCTTGCACCGTGTATCTGCGTCAGTGGACCAAGGGCAAGAAGACGTGTCTGAAGTTTGGAATTCCCATGGTTTGGCGGGAGCAGAGAAACCATGACACTGACTGCTACTTCTGTAGCATCGATCTGACTGGGATAAACGGAAAGAACCGAAGCAGCCTCGAGTATCCTGATTTGCAATCCGCACGTCGTCCTGTAGCTCATTGTATGATATTCCAGTACCTGCGTTTCACAAACTTCAAGACATCAGTGATGACGAATCCATCACCCTGTACCGCAACAGGCATCAAGAGTACCTCCAATTTTTCTCGGAGGAGCAGGACTTGGTGTACTGCACAGATATTGCACAGCTTCTGCACCACCTGGGAGTACCGCAGTACAAGCCCGAAGACTGGAGACTGTTCATTGACAGCAGCAAGCGGTCACTGAAACGTGTTCTACTGCACAACGACAACCAGTTTGCCTCTGTGCCCCTTGCTCACTCTACTAAACTGAAGGAGAAGTATGAAGCGGTGAAGTATGTGCTGGAGATGATTCGTTATGATCAGCATAAGTGGGTTATTTGTGTCGACCTGAAGATGGTGAATTTTTTGTTGGGGCAACAATCCGGGTTCACCGAATACCCATGTTTTCTGTGCATGTGGGACAGTAGGGACACTGCTCACCATTACACGAAGAAGGACTGGCCTGTGCGAGAGGAACTAGTGCCTTGCAGAGCAAGTAACGTTATCAACAGCCCAATGGTGGACAGAGACAGGATACTCTTCCCACCACTGCACATCAAGCTTGGCTTGATCAAGCAGTTTACAAAAGCTCTAGACAAGGAAGGTGGCTGCTTCAATTACATGTGCCAGACATTTCCGGGAGTAACCATAGTGAAGTTAAAAGCTGGTATCTTTGACGGTCCTCAAATCCGTCGGCTCTTCAGAGATCCAGAGTTTGAAAAGTCAATGAACAAAGTGGAACAGGAAGCATGGAATGCTTTTGTTCTCGTTGTGAAAAACTTCCTTGGCAACAACAAGGCCAGAAACTATGCTGAACTTGTCAACAATATGGTGACTGCTTTCAAAAAACTCGGATGCAACATGAGCATCAAACTGCATTATCTATTTTCACATATGGATCGTTTTCCTGAGAATCTTGGATCAATGAGCGACGAGCAGGGAGAGAGATTCCACCAGGAGATGAAGGAGATGGAGACCAGGTATCAGGGACGTTAGAATGCCGTCATGATGGCTGATTACTGCTGGACTCTAAAGAGAGACATCCCTGATGCTGAGCATTCCAGGGTATCCAATAAACGGAAGTTCCAGCCCTAAATTCTTAACAATGACGAACATTAATGACCCTTACTTAAGGTACTGTGTTTCAGAACGCTTTTTTCTCTTTGAAACCAATTCCGAATGAGAAATGTTCATAGAAATAAACCGATTATGGCACAAAAATTTTACTGATTTATTCACAAATAAAATAAAATAAACATTTAACTTAGCAGAAAAACTGGACCTGACCTAGAGAAACGGATGTCATTTTCGGACTCAGCGGTGCCAAATTATCACAAATCAGTTGTAAAAAATTAGGAAATTTCCTCAAAAATTTTTTTTGTTGCTCAGTGTAATCTATAATTTACTTAAAGTAAAAAATTATTTAATTTTTAATCAATTTAATATCAGACAACAATTCAAAGTAATTTCACAAAAGTTGATCCGTAAGTACAAATATAATTTGTTTTATTAGCATTTAAATAATTTTAAAATTTTTACATTTAATTTAACCAACCAAATTTCAAATAATTTCATTTTATTTATTTATATTTATATATTTATTGTTGAAGGATATTATATCATGCCACGTGGAGGTGGAGTTCATACAACAAAAAGGCTAAGCGGATGTCAACAAAGAAAAGCCAAAATAAAGAAAGATGAAATACTATCTACATTGCGCGGATCTATGATGCAATATGTAAAGGGATCAGATGAGGCCCAGAGTTCTTCCAAAGACACAGTTCCTCAACCACAAAATGATGAGACTAATTTATCTGATGCTGGTATGCAGTCAGCAGAGGAAAACATTAATATAGAAGAAAATAGAGCAGAACAAGATAAAGAAATAGATGAATTTGTAGCAGAAGAGTGGACTGATAATAGTGACTCTAAACATGATACTGAAAATGAACTTACGGGGAAAAATTGGAATGTTTTGGATGATGCTTCTTATTGGAATATACCAATTCCAGATCAATTGCGCGTTCAAATCATCAAAAGAGGAAGTGCATATCTCCAGAACAAAGATGGGCCTTTCAGGATGTTGACGAGGCAAGATCTAAAAGCTAAAGGTGATGTTCGCCAGCTATCTAAAGAGTGGTTTTATATGGTGATGCCAAATGGTGAGAAGGTGTTGCGAACATGGATGGTTTATTCTCCCGTCAGTGAAAAATTATATTGTTTTTGCTGCGGACTCTTTGCCGTTAATGCTACAGACACAACATCCAAATTTGTGACTGGATTTCAGACATGGTGGAAAATGAGCCCGAAAGTGCCTAATCATGAGACATCCGATGCTCACTTGCATTGCTTTGAAAAATGGAAAACCTTGGAGGTGAGACTTAGAATGCACAAAACAATTGATGCAGAAAATATTGCTTTGATAGACATAGAGAAGAAAAAGTGGAGAGACATCTTGCATAGGCTGCTCGATATTACATTGTTTCTCGCCAAGCAAAATCTGGCTTTTCGGGGCCACAATGAAGAAGAATCTTCATTAAATAAAGGAAACTTTCTTGAAATGGTTGAGATGCTTTCTAAATATGACTCAGTGCTAAAAGAGCACCTATTAAGATTAAAGCAAAGCACACATAAAACTAAAGCATCAGCATCTTATCTTGCACCAAATACTCAGAATGAGTTTATTCATGTCCTAGCAAATCATGTGAAGGAGAAGCTTATCATGGATATAAAATCTGCCCGGTATTTTGGTATCATGTTTGATAGCACACCCGACGCATCACACAATGACCAAATGTCTGAAATTATCAGATATGTGAAAATTCATAATAGAAAAGTTGAAGTAAGAGAAGTGTTTCTGGGATTTTTTTCTTTAAAAGGGAAAAAAGCTGCTGATCTCAGTTCTGATATTCTCGAAAATTTGGAAAGTGATGGACTCAACTTTATGATGTGCCGCGCTCAAGGTTACGACAATGCTGCGACTATGGCTGGAATCCATGGGGGTGTACAAGCCATTTTGAAAAGAAAGAACAGGAAAGCTATTCTTAATGGTTGTGTGGATCATTCTCTTAACTTGTGTGGCCAACACTCTTTTGCTGAAAATGCTTTGTGCGTGACTTTTTTTGGAACTCTTGGGACAATGTTTTCATTCTTTGCTGCTTCCACTCACCGATGGGATGTTTTAATGAACCACACTGGAGTTTCATTAAAAAGATTATCAACAACACGCTGGAGTTCTCATCACGCAGCAGTAAAGGCAGTGAAAGAAAAATTTGATGAATGTGTGACGGCAATAGAAGCTCTTTGTGATCCAGGGGAAAATCTAGACACTAGAGGTACAGCCCGAGGTCTTTTACCTGCTATCTGCAATTTCACTTTTCTGTGCTATCTCTTCTTTTGGTGTGATGTACTTGAAGAAGTAAATCTAACGCAACTGTACCTTCAGACTAAGGGCTTAAGTCTTGACAAGGTGGTGACAAAGCTAGAGACACTAAGACTTTTTATGTATGAGAAGCGCAATCATCTTGTGGAGCAGGCAATTGAACAGGCATAAAATCAGACCAATATGGAATTTCAGTAGAGAGCAGACCCAGGTTCAAGAAGAGGATGGCAGGCGAGCGCGAGAAGACGAGAGATGCTGGACTTACTCTGCAGGAAGAAAACAAGAGAGCGATGTATGAGTGTATTGATCGTTTCCATTCTGAACTCCAGATCAGATCAAGAGCCATCAAGGAAGTAGCAGCCAGGTTTGAGGTTGTTCAAGCCAAGAGTTTGATATCTGCTACTAAAGAAGAGTTATTGGTAAACATTCCAAAATTGACCACATTCTATGATGAGTTTTAATAGAAATAAAGCTTTTATTAGAAATACCAAGACTGAGAAGATATCTGAAGGCAGCAGAGATTGATCTTGAAGAAGCCAAAGACTGGTCAGTACTTGACATTTTGAAATTCATAGTTGAATGGGACTTCCTAGAATCTCTCCCATATCTCTCAGTGAGCCTACAATTATTTCTTACAATCTGTATGTCTTAGATTATAAAGAACTATTTGCGATCTACTATGGGACAGTCTAGGCTTTCTGATCTTGCAATATTATCAATTGAAAGAGATTTGGCAAAAGAAGTTGATTTTGATGAAGTAATTAACAAGTTTGCATCTTTAAAGGCGAGGAAAGGGAAGTTCTGATTTAGTTGAGATTTAATGTGACATAAAATTCAATGTAAAAATAACAATTAAAAAAGTGACATATTTTCTATTTAGTTTTATTTCTTAAAATCTTTGATAGATCACAATTTTTTTTAAAGAATAAAAAAATCGACCTTGAATTATTTTTTCTTCTATTGTCGTTGTAAATTTATTTATAAATTATGCTAAGAATGCTGTATGTCTATGGGGTGTCATGAGAGGGGTGACACCATGAGTTACCGCACCGGGTGACACCAACCCTAGTGACGCCACTGTGTAAGGGAGCGTGTATGGCCGACCTTTCATGGGCCACAGAGAGCAGAAAATATTAGGAACGATCCTTGCAGGACGAATCAACTAACGTCAGAAGTAAAATTGACAAGTGATGTGCACGAAGAAGGAAGGTATGAATTAGCTAAACTGTTAAGAAGACTTTTTTGATCTATTCATTGGTACAGGTACAGAAATTGGAGTCGCGAGAGGTTTCCATCATAAGAATAACACAAAGCAGGTTTGGCCGATAAAACAACAACTTAGACAACATTTCCCGGCGAAAAAAATGGATTATAGCGATAGTGTATTGATTACCAAATGTTAATATGCAAACAATGAAGGACGTCTACTCATTTTAAAAAATAGACATGTGTTTGGACGCGATGTCGGGTGCCCGGTGGTTCTCTACACTGGACCTTAAATCATCCAGAAATGCATCCAGATGATAGGGATAAAACTGCTTTTGTTTGTAGCTAAGGCATTTTTGGGTTCAAACAAATGCCTTTCAGTTTATGTAACGCTGGTGCTGCTACTTTTCAGCGTTTGATGGATATGGTGCTCTCAGACCTGTGTCCGAATACTTGTTTACATCGATGATATTATTGTATATTCTAATAAAATGCAAGATTATCTGTTTAGGTTAAAGCAAACTGGAATGATAGACTGGCGGCGACGATTGTTAGTTTAGAAAGAAGGAACAGTTTTCGCCATGCAACAAAGGTTAACATTTTGGATGAGCAAAATGTGTCTCCCTTGGTTTCGCTTAAAATGAATGCAGCATTCGATTGTGTTAATCATAATATTTTAATTGGATTGCTTCAACACTCATTTGGATTTGCTGACATTGTGCTCCTATAATTAGTGTTTTATCTGCTTTACCGCATTTAACAATTTGTGTTTAATAGTTTTTTTTGGCTGACAATGAAAAGTTGTCATGTGTTGTCCCACAGAGCACTGTGTTGAGTTCATTGTTGTTTTTGGTTAGTTTTCTACCAGAGATCAGTCCGCTAATAGTTTAAAATTAAATCATAACAAGACATAGATTTTACCCATTGGTAACGTGACATTAGATTGCTAAAATGGACATTAATTTGCATTTATTTTCAAGATACATGCATTGACCTCTGTTTGAGTGCACGTAACATCAGCATTGTTTTTGATACTGACATGTCAGTGGAACAACATATCTTGCGATTGTTCCAACCAGTATAGGTTGTTTATGTCGGTGAAGCATTCACCCAATTCATCTACAATTCAGTGTTTAATCCACACTTTCCTGCATCAAAAATTGGACTACGGCAATAGTCTCTTTCATGGACTGTCACAAAAATCAATTTGCATACTATAGCATCATCACTTGAACAATTTAAAAAATCAGAGAATACTTGATGTTCTTTAACCTTACAGCTGAAAGAAGGTGAGCCATGCCATATAATGGTTTTTTTTAATGTTTTCAATTCACTGGCAGTAATTTTATTGTTTGCTACATCAAACATATTAGTTTTTTCGTCACATAGAACCTTGTTTAAAACTCGCCATAACTGTTTAGAGTTGTTAGTGTTAACTAAATTGTTCCAGTACGATTCTATTTTCTTTGCAAAATGTTCTTGTTTCATATTCATTAGGCCAATCTAGTTCTGCCTATTAACCATACATATATTTTTTCCCATATTTTGCGTTCATACCTTCGACAATCACGTTTAATTCCTCTACAGTCACAATTGAACCATGGTGCAGTTTGAACCATTCTTGTTTCAACTATATGAAGAGACGCAATAATATTAGCAATTCTTATCATATCATTGTTGAAGAGTTTTGCTGCTCTATCTACATCCTTGTCATTTCAAGTACCACTTATCGGAGATCCATTAATCAAGGTAATCAAATAATTTTCATCAACACGCTTCCATGTCCGTACAGCCTTTTTAAGCCTCAACGCAGGGGAACAAACTGTTGGCAAACAAATTGAAACGGAACTGTGATCAGAAATGACACCACTAGGATATACCCTAACACGAGTAACAGGCATATTGATTACTGGTACCACCAAGTCCAACGTTCCACCATGCATATGTGAAGTTTCTTTTATTACATTTTGCATTGAAAACATGTCTAACACATTCGATAATAGCCTGGCATTAACATCATTGTTTCTTTCGACATGCTTGTTCAAATCACCTAATAATATTACATGATCTCACTCAATAACATTATGTTCTCCAAGATACTGGTCAATTCTGCAAATTTAGTAACCAACTGCGATCATGGTCGATAAATGGCAAATAGTACAACATTAACTGTTTTATGTGAACGTCATTTCCACAGAACGCCAAAACATAAGGCAACTGAATAAATTTTCCTTTTTTTCTCAAACAAATAACTCTCTAGTCAAAAAAAAGAGACAAAAAACGATTAAATTAATTATAGTTTTTGTCCATGAATGGCTGTCTATGGCGAACGTGACAATTGCTTTCTTTCGAATGCAAAAATGCTTTTATGAACATGTTTCTGTTGCAAAAAAATCCATTGTCAGCAAAAGCTGTATATATAATTTCATTATATTTCCGGATACTCGGTGAAAATATGCCGTTAATCATGGCTTGAATGGTGAAAAATTGTTTTGTCAGATAATTGATAATTAATTTTTATAGTGGGAATATTTTATGAACAATTAATGACAATGAAGAGATGTATCGATAATAGAGCATTTAGAACAACCAACGCACTTAAATTATGAAGATAAGAAAGGTGATGATTTTCTGGTAATTATAATATGTCGTGTTAAGCAAATGAATAAACGAATAAGTATAAAAATATGTATAATATGAAATAATCTTTTTGAAATTTGTATGACTAGTTCGATCTGCAGTTTGTAGCCTCGTTATGGCACGCTGATGTTTATGTAGCATATTCAGTCATCTAAAGTAGAAGTCTACGCGGGAACACATTTCTGTTCCCTCACCTGCCCCTCCTGAAAATGAATTTTACCTCACCCGCACTCATTCCCTTACAAGTCTTTCCTCACCCGCACCCATTCCCTCACAAATCCTCATTTTCCCGCACTCATTCCCTCAATAATTATATCATTATTACAAAGACAATAAAATAAAGTATCCTTAGTCAGAGTATTATGTAGTACATTCCATGTACGATTTTTATTATAAAAACAAACAAAAATACTGGTTAATAACAGTTAGTGTTTCAGTAAATTGTTCGTAAATTTTATACCACTCCTTGACTGTTGAGAAAAAGCAAAATGAAAATAGAACTCGCTGATCACGTATTTATCTGTGTGAACAGCTGATAAAGACAGATTCTGTATTCAAGCTGCATACTTAATGTTGTGTTTTGCTGTTTTGAAGAGTTGAAACACAAACTAAATAGAAAATAATAAGCGTAATGTACGTATACTAATTTATTACGTAAAATAAATATAACGCTCTATAACCAAACGAATTGAAACGAATTGAACAAACTAAAAAATTAAAAAGCATGTCACAGTAAAAGTCACATTGTACATAAATTATCGCCCAAAAACAAATAGAATAAATAGTAATGTGCCCTGCACAAAACACTTAATATAATTGGTCACGTGTCCTTTCGTGTTATCACAATGAATATTATTTAGCGTGATGCATATGCATCTGTGAGCTTGCTTAGCTTTAAACTTAGTAATAATAATCTAACTTTTTCAATTGCGTCGCTGTTCAAGCTATGAAATTTTTCATTAATTTTCAACATTTTTGGAACTTCGCCATCAAAGTCAAGTCAACTAAAATTTTTCCTGTTCCGCGGTACTTCCTGCACGAAAAATATCCGCCCCGCGGTTTTCCCTCGCTTTTCATTCCCGCCCCGCAAGTTTCCCTCCAACTTCTGTTCCCAACCCGCAGTTTTCCCGCGGGTGTTTGCGGGAAAATTTGCGGGAAATTTTCCATGTAGACCTGTAATCTAAAGCCTAAACATAAGAACGAATGCTTGTGAGATTTAATTTTCATTTAATTATTTAACACAAAACATAAACGAATTAATTTTTGAATTAAAACTTTGACTTCGCCATCTAACTCAATAGGTACAGCACAGACAATCATTCAGTGGCATTCAACTAAGCGCCGACCTTGACAAGTTTAAGCATGAGTTTGAGCATTACCCAAAATCACGGGTAACTGGGGGAGCCAAATGCTATCTGCCTGCTTAAACGCTAATTACTTTTTTATATGAGAAATGAGTTAAAAATAATTTCAATTGAACTTTTTCAAAATTTATTGTTAACATAAATTAGTTTTTCCTGAAATCAATTTCTTTTTCTTTGTGTTCATTTAAAAAAATTATTTGATGCTTGTTGAGGCTTAGCTTAGTTACAAATTGAAAATTAATTGGAACCACTGAAAGAATATGCAAATATATGTGGTTTTATAAATAATTTTCTATCAAGTATGATTTTTTGAAATTGGAGAAGAATTGCAAAAAAAAATTGACCTTTCGTCAAAAGTTTGATGTTGATGGTGCTTTGCCATGTGTTGAATTAATGAGTGTTCAGTTGTTATTTAAAATTAAAATAAATTAAGTTGAAAAACTGAAAAAAAAAAACAGAAAATAAGACAACCATTCATGTTTTGTAAAACATTCTTTAAAAGGGTTAAATCGAAATACAAGGTTTGTTCTGCGCATTCATATAAACTTATTTGTTATTGTTGCATATGAGGAAGGTAGTTTTTTTAAACTGAGCCAATTAAAACTTAATTTTTAAAATACTACATTTCAATTCTTTAGATAAATTATCAACCGAGTATGAAGAGATAGCACAATGAAATAAAAACTTAGAAAAATCTTTAAAAATGTACTTAAATTTTTTTTTGATTTTGTTATTAGTTCAATTTATTTGGTCAATAACAACATTTTAAAACTGAAATATCAAGTCAAGTTTTGTTGTACCATCAATATAAGGATAGGACCGTTTAAGTTTTCAGTGTTCCACCAATGACATAAAATTAAACTTGCTACTAATGTTCACCAACGTCACCATCATATAATCAAAACTTTCAATGTAATTCAGGACCATTTTATCCTGCTTTGATGAATGTTTTTCTTACATCGTGCACGAAACAAAGACATGATGTGTTGTACGATTGACGAATTTAAATGTTACATAAAACTTTAGCGTTTTTATTAAATAATTTACAAATAAATTTTCATGTATTTGCAATCCGTTAGTCAGTCGAAGAAGTAACGGAGACTTATATAAGTTTAGAGGGTTGTGGTTAAGATGAAAGTTTAAAAAATCTATTAAAAAATTTTGATTTCAAGTGGTCGTAATTTCATAAAATTTGCAGTTTGTATTGTATATTTTATTTTCAAAAAGTATTCTAAAAAAATTTTTTCCACACAGCAGTTAAATGCTATTTTAAAGTCCCTAATAAGTGCTATCATTCAAAAACATTTACAACCAACAGATTAAACAAACGAAAATAAACTCATTAAGCACAAACCATGATGAAGAGGAAAAAAATAAAAAAAAGACAATAAAATCAGAGCCATATGAAATATTCAATTAGGGATCTAACAATTGAAACCGAAAAAGCGAAGGCCTGGGAGTAGCATGATAGGATTAAGAGTTGAAAAAACTGGAAAACCACATTGAACATCAGCGTGTTATGAAATGAACAGTTGGCTAAATATTAATGTTAGCATGAAAATCGTTAAAATATTTTTTTTTTAATTTGGAATTGAAAAAATTAATATTTTGAAACGATTTTAACAACCCCTTGTTCTCACCACTGAAAATTTCTGGCTACCTTACTCTGATGTGGCTAAATAGAAGGAAATCATGAAGAAAATGTAAATATTGTAAAAAAGTCAGTTGGTAGACAATTGAGTTCAGACACGTTAAAATTTGAATGCATTGAGTTATTATTAATTAATGAAAAGCTGGAAGATTCAAGAGTATCAGCAGACTCTTTTAACAAAGAAATCTCGTCAGTAAATAATTTGAACTTATCATTTAGCGATTAGTGTTAACCTCTGGTAACCTCCGGACTCAGCATTGGATGAGTCATTAATTTTTGTGGTAGTGCAGAAAGACGGAGCCACACTTTAACAGTAACAATGTCCTTTAAAATACTGAATATAAAAATAGAATTCATTTGAGACGACATTTATAAAAAAATGGCTGAAATTTTATTCAATTGAAATTTTGATGAAATATAACACATCTGACGCCATTGAGTAGGCAGTTTCTTATAAAGTGATAAAATTAAAATCACGACCACTGAGTCTGCGGCGCTCATCCATTGCTCATGTAATAAGTTCATCTCGCTAGAACATTTACGTGCATGCTAACTCAATCATGCATGGGACGTCAAATTGTGCAATATATGTAACGCATGTAGTCTATAATGAAGCGACACAAACCGCTTTTGTTGCAATTCATGAAATATTTGATTTAAAAATAAATTAAATAATTTAATTTCAACAAAAATTTTTAAATCGATTTTAAAATGTTTTTATTGAAGCGATTCGTGATATTTTTCATATGCTTTTACCTGGGTAATTTTATAAATTTCAATAAAAATTTATTTGCAACAATTAAGAGATAATATTTCTTGAAAGGTTATTTACAAGCAAAAGAGAACATAGCCCTCTTGAAACCAGCCACAAGCTCTTCAGTTTGGGACGTATCTTATGTTCCTGGTTGCAGATATGATGGCTCAAAAGCAGTGGATGGTCAGTTTGGAGTAGAAATGGATTTATGCCAATGTTTTGCCACTGCAGATGGAGCTGGAGGCCCAAACTGGTTGTGTGTTGATATGCTGAACATCAACCAGGTCGATTACGTTGTCCTTCTTGCTAGAAATCAACTTCGTGAGTTTAAATATTTTTTTTATTTCATTCGTTTTGCAGAATCGGTTGCAAAATAAAAATTCGGTAGAAAATAATTGACATAATATTTAAGAACAAACATGCTATTATTTACGTGTACCGTACAACAACGTTAATGGGACATGGGCAATAATACCTAAATTTAATTCATTTACTAATTACGAGCAGTTTAAAAAGTGACATAAAACGTTGAAGATGGCGTGCGACTTGCATTTATCAGACAATGTTTATATACAGAGTTGAGTTTTGTTTTATAAAATGTTATTGAAAAGTAAACAAGTAAGTAAATTGTTTAAATGTGATGCTAGTGTGATTATTATTTAACTACTACATTATTTGAGACATGCGAAACACTTTGGTTTTCTTCTTTATTATTAATGCAACGGTTTCAAATCGATGTCAGAGGCTTTGTTTATAAGCATTAGCAAGTTTTTGACCTCATCAAATCCTCAAATTAATAAAAATAACAAAAATTATTTAAGATTTCGAATGTGTTTAATTTTATTTTTAATTGTTTAAAGTCGTCAATCAAGTTATTTTGTAAGCTACCAGAGTATTTAGATAGTTTTTTATTTCTTAGAATTTAGAAAGTTAGTCTCGTGACAGACTGTTAATTTCAGTATTTCAATCGTTTCGTCTCGTAACAATGCGATATCTGGTCGCAATGACTTGAATAAGCGAAATAGTGGTTGAAATTCATCTGTCTCTAGATCTGCATAAACGGAGACTTCTGGGTTGGCGCATGATTTCATTTTTTCGAGAATTATTTTTAGAATTTCGTTGTATCTTGTTGTCTACCGAGCCGCAGGAATATGACTACTAATTGCCTTGATTATTGCATCCTGACAAAGAAGAGAGGTCAGCCGATCAAATTCTGCACTTTGCTGTCGCAGCATTAGTGCTTTCAGCGTCAGTTTGATGTTGCTCAAATCTGAGAGCTGGTTGTTAATTTTGATGTAGTCGTTGAACGATTTGGCCCGCAAACATTCCAGTTCGTCACTGCCTTTGCTTTCAGATAATTGCGTAGTTTGATCCGCAAAGATTTTGCATATAGTGTTTGAGAGACCTAATGTTTAAACCTTCCAGTTTGAAGGGGAGCAACAAACACTCCGCCACACAGCTGCTGATTGGCAATGACAGCCATAATCTCACCGCTTCAACAATGAGAGGGTCAAGGCAGTTGCTTATCCAGGTCAAGGAAAAGTCGTACGCTCGCAGCTCAAGTGCCAATTGTGACGGCACATAACTTCGTAAAATGTGTAGTTTCCAGTTTGCCGTCGTGTTCAGATTGCTTATCACATAAACTTATTTTTCAGTTTACCAAGCAACTGGTTTTTGGCCTTACTGTTGTTGCCTTTAAAAGCGTAAATCCTGCCTAGACAAACAAAATGCTTTCCAATGTCAACCTGAGGAATCGGCTTGTCATCGATCGTTAGCATCGGAAGAAATTGCTCATAGGCACCATTTTTTTCCTCATTTTGATTCTTAATTTCATGCCGGTTGCGGTGCACCAAGCCTGGTTTACATTGATAAGTTTCTGTGCACAATCAGTGTTGTTGACTATGATTGCTGTGTCGTCAGCAAATTGCAACCATGCTTTTGTTTTAAGGCTTGCTGTTGGGCCCCATATAAAACCACGTTAGCTTTAGTAGAAACTTTGATAGTTTCAGTTTTTCTTCCTCATACCAAAGGAATGACATTTGTCTATTCTCATCTGCATGTTCGACCACATGCACCACGCATAGTTATAATGGGAACGATCTTTTATTCAGCAATAAAAAAAACATTGAAAATGACAGTACGGATAAAATAAAATAATGAAATAAAATAAAATAAAGTGTCAAATGCAATAAATAGAGTATTAATCTGAGAAGCTCATCATTCAAATCGAGAAAGTACGACCAGAGTTAATTAGTTTTAAAATTGATTCATTTCACATTTCTGTCGCAATAGATAGCGTATGACGATGATATGTCAGAGTTTATAAGATTATTGCAAAAATAATCAGTCCAAATAAGATTTATTAGCGAGAGGTTAAATGTTTTAAAGAGACCTAAAGTAGATACTTCAAATGTATTTATTGTTATTTTTAAATGTTTTAATTCGTCGTTTAAGTTATTTTTCAAGCTATTAGAGTATTTTGATTGTTTGTAGTCGTTAGATTTGAAGAAGTTAGTCTGATGGCAGACTGTCAACTCCAGGATTTCCAATGTTTCACCGCGTAGCAATGCGATATCTTGGTGGTTGAAAATCGCCTGTCTCAAGATCAGCAAAACGGAGACGTCTGGGTTGGCACATGATTTTAACTTGTCGAGAATTATTGCTAAAATTTTGTTGTGTCTTGTTGTGTATCTACCCAATGCCGATGCTGAACTGCAGTTGGATAGTACATGTTTATTGGATTGCGTATTTTTGCATAACGAGCACTGGGCAGTGGAGGACTTTCTCCATCTGGACAGGTTGGCAAAGATTCGGCATAGTGTTTGAGAGACCTAATGTTCAAGCCTCACATTTTAGAGAGAAGGGACAGACATTCCGCCACACAATTGCTGATTGGCAGCGATAGCCATAATCTCACCGACTCAACAATGAGAGAGTCAAGGCAGTTGCTTATCCAGGTCAAGGAAATGTTGTATGTCCGCAACTCAAATGCCAATTGCGATGGTACATATCTACGTAAAATTTGTATTTTCCAGTTTGCCGTAGTGTCGAGATTGTTTATCACTGACAACAAATTTTTCAACTTTTCAACTAGCTGTTCTTTAGCTTTGCTGTTGTTGCCTTCAAAATCGTAGACCCTGCCCAGATAAACAAAGTGTCCACCTATGTCGACCTGAGGAATTGGTTTTTCATCGATGGTCAGCATCGGAAGGAATTGCTCATAGGAACCGTTTTTTTCCTCATGCCGAATGTTGAGCATTTGTCAATGTTTAGTTTCATTTCGGTTGCGTTGCACCAAGCCCAGTTTACATCAATAAGCTTCTGTGCACTTTCAGTGTTGTTGGCGATGATTGCCGTGTCGTCCGCAAACTGTAACAATAATAATATTACTGTGATAATAATAATAATAAAAAATAATAATAATAGTAGTAGTAGTAGTAGTAATAGTAGTAGTAATATGGGGATTTATTAGGCGCCAAACGCACAGCTGTCAGCATTCGCAAACAAAAAAGTTTTGAGTTGTTCTTTTTAAATCTGACATGAATTCACTAATTCTGAGTTCTGGCGTCCGGCTGTTCCAACCCTGTGAAACATCATGATTCCTCTTTTAATTTTCAGATGTGGTAACCACACACACGTAATGCATGTGAAAATGCATGCGCGAATTTGCGCATCCTACACAAACTTTTTCTCATTCCAACCAGGTAAGGGCAGCAGCCGAGGGACCATTAACCATTTATATTATAGATCTGCTTGGAATAAGAAAGCAGACGTTAAAGATAAATTCCATCTACACTTGGTTTTAGAAAATAATATACTTAATATTATAAATAAGTGTGAAAATTTGCACTTTCTTATAAACAAATTATGATGCGCTTACAAAACTTCACTAACAGCAGAAAGAATGAATTATTTCATTGTGGGCCTAAAGGACAACAACCAGAATATCATAAGAGGAAATTATTTAGTTTGTGGGCAATACCCTAAGAAGGCTGAAATTTCAAAGAAGCACACCTTGAAATGCAACCCATTCCTTCCCAAGCAGCAGTTCCTTATTGTGCAACAGTACCTTTACGGAGGTGGAGGTTTCACCATTTGTCAGCTGGAAATTTATCTCTATGAGGCTCTTTCGAGTAGGAACTTTGTAACTTGTATAAAATAATTTTATTTTATTTTTAAATGCATTTACTAAATTAACATTATTAATAAAAATTAATAAATCACTTTAAAAAACTGCTTAAATATTTATCAAATTTTGCCTGGATAACAACCAAATCAGTCAATTCGTTTCAGAGTTGCTTGTCAAAAAAAAATTTCAACGTTCTGAAATTAATTTGCATACTACTGTCAAATATGTTTTTATATTAATACATCAATTTAATTAACTGTTGTTGGTTATACTATTCATATTCTGAACGGAAACGTTTTTTAATATTATAGACAAATAATAAGAATAATACAAACACGCAATTTAAATGCATATACAATTCCAAATATGATGACAGCAATTTATACCAATATTTAGATGTTTCATCGACAGTTTGGACGAAGCAGTACATGGATGAGCCGACGAAGACATACAGCGTCTTGTTGCTCGGCAACGTGTTGCACGAGACGAGGAGACGCAGCTTATTGGACTGTGTGGTTCTGTGCAGCGTTGAAGCGTCGAGGCAATGTGACTCGTTGAACTACTGCAAGTGGTCGAATCTCTGCCAGTTGAACTCTCACAAGTATGGCTACCAAAGAAGCTCCATTCAAATTGTCAACGATGATACATGTCGCTGGTTGCTTCCTATGTTTCCATGAATATTCATAACATTCCAATTCATTACGTAGTGGTTTTTAAACATCCATTAAATTAGCAGTTTAATCGATTGTCTTATGAAAAATTTGTTTACACATTCAATGAGCAGAAAGATTTATTAAATGTACTGAAGAGGCAGATTGGATTCATTTTCATATTACTATTGAACCGATCGTTGTAATAAAATCGTTGTTGAAATCCTTCGCAGTTTCGTAATTTGACTGAAAGAACAAAACAAATTTTGTAAGATTTTAAATATTTGCCATCAACGTATTTTAAATAAATTGTAAATTTCAAAAAATTGATTTCATTGTTATTAATCAATACATTTAAAATTAAGTCAGTTGGTTAGTTGCCAGTGATTCCATTTTTGAACTGTCGTTATTGGATAAAATAACATTAGCTAGAGAAAAAAGCAAAATTAACGAACAGTTTGAGTTTTAATTACTTTGTTAATGCAGTTTAAACAGTTTAAAAGATTAATTTTTAACAAACACCTCGATTATTATCAAAATTTAGATATCATTTCACGTTGGATTGACACATCTCAAATTAACGATACATTTTCTATTAATCATATCCATCGTCACAGAGAAGATCAAACGAATGCTCACATCAACAAAATCAACATGAAACAACATTGTATGTACTCATACTCTGTTGCCAAGTGTCTGTACAGTGGCCGACCAATGGGGGTCGAAGGCCTATTGACCCTCCCGTTGTGAACAGCACTTATTCAAAGTCAATAAAACTCAATTTTAATAAATAAAAAAGGTCGTCACCACAAATTCTGCTACTTTCTTGACTCCTGCCTCCAACAAAATTTAAACATTTTTCCAAATTTTGTTCTCCCCCCGTAAAATTTGTTTACATCCACCACCTGTACATGTACAAAGCGATGAGATCGTCACGCATGGCGCAATCGATGGAACGTAATGGTAGATTATTCAATACATATTGTTTGCCATCGAATGAATGGATGATGAATGGAAGACTTAAAAGCTTGTTTTTGTGTTTGCACGGGTAAATAAATGTATTTCATCTGGCTAATTAGCTTGTAACGTAGTTGTTGTAGCCATTGATTTCTGTTAAAGGTCGAGTGGTTCAGCAGCTCGTTATGATTCCTTTTAAATGAATGACTACGGTTGTTGCTATTCTTATTACCGTTAATATTGTTATTATTGCTATCACTATCATTTCAGTTATTATTATCATCATTATTATTGCGCTTAAACAATGCTGTGATATTTAGCAATAATTGTTTAGATCATAGTCTCAATCACTGTATATATATATATATATATATATATATATATATGTGTGTGTGTGTGTGTGTGTGTGTGTGTGTGTGTGTGTGTGTGTGTGTGTGTGTGTGTGTGTGTATGTGTATATATAGGAGATATATATATATATTCTATAAATTCTACCGAATGTTTGTAGTTCGTTTTTTCAATTTTTCTCACTAAAGTTTTTTGGTGAACGTTTAGTTTATTAAAATTCAACTTATTTTCCGAATTCATTCTACAAATAAGGCCATATTTCGATTCCGAATGAATCATCATCAGTGCTTTCTCCTGTTTATAAAGGGAAATATTGACTTTGTCAAAATGAATTTAGATGGAGATTGACTTTGTCAAAGTGAACTTAGATGGAAATTAGGTGTCAGGTTTCTTTATTCTTTGGTCTCTTTTCTTCATCGATAGCATCATATTCTTCTTTGTCATTATTTACAATGCTAGTTTTATTACTTCTTTGTTTTCGTTGTTGGTTAAGCGCCGGGTTGGAAGTGAGATTGTCAAAGTCAATATGTAAACAGCAGAAAGCACTGATGATGATTCATTCGGAATCGAAATATGGCCTTATTTGCAGCATGAATTCGGAAAATAAGTTTATTTTGAATTTTAATAAACTAAACGTTCACCAAAAAACTTTAGTGAGAAAAATTGAAAAAAACGAACTACAAACATATTAACGCCAAACATTCGGTAGAATTTATAGAATATTGTAAAAATTATGGTCTAATATATATATATATATATATATATATATATATATATATATATATATATATATATATATAGGATATAACAGCAAACCATGTATGAAAGATTCCAATTCTCATTTGAGCAGCATAGAACATGTGGATTGGATGAAATATTTGTAGGCAGATTTATATGCCATTAATCCGACAAATTATTTTAAATCTTATGTCTAGAGGTTTATTTTATTATGTTGAAAAGACAAAAATTTAATATCTTTGACGTTAGCGTACCTACGATATCTGTCATCTATTGAAAAAACGATCGGTTCATCAGAAAGTTTGAATTTTTAAAAAGCTATGTTTGCCATAATAAAATCTGAGATTATAAAATACCTGGAAAACACGTCAGTGAGAGGGTTGCCGAAGATTTTGAAATCCAAAGATATTTTTCTCAAACTTCTTTGGCTCCTCTTCTTCCTAGCATCAACCATCGTCCTAGTTTATCTTCTGTGCCTGTTGTTTAACAGATATTACATGTGGCCGATAACAACGCAGTATGGGGAAAAAGTGCGTATGATAATTTTGTTTTGTTTTAATTTTAATTATTTATGATTTTTACAGAGAGATCAGTTTTTATCATTTCCGGATATCACAGTGTGCAATTTAGATTTTTTGGCAGAAGGCGAGCCAGAAGATTTGTCTATGCGAGATTATGCGCAATTTTTAAATGCGTTAAAAGAGAAAACAAAAATAGAGTCAAATTCAAATCAAAACTGGTTTAACAACGAAACAAATTTAACTTTAAAACTTCAATTTCAAAAATCGGTTTTAGAAGAGCTTTCCTCGGTGTCAGGTTATATAATTAATTTAAAAAAGGATCGTCCAAAACCTGATAAATGTTTGAATTTAATTGTTGACTGTAATTTTTTCGGCACTGACTGGTTTCGGACAATAGATCTGTGCTCTGTCATCAATTTCACCAGACGTTGGAATGCAAATTACTACACTTGCTACACGTTAAAAACTAGCAATTTAAAGCCAACCAACTCAAAAGTACTAAGAGGATTGAGTCTGATACTGAATGTTGGTCCACTTAATTACAAGCAGTTGCCATATAAATCTTCACTAACCAATTCTCAGGCCAGAGGAGTGCAGGTGAGTGTTCACAGTCCTGGCACTCCTCCCGATCTCAAACGAGGATTCAACGTTGCACCTGGAACTGAAAACATTGTCGATATTGTTCAAACTGAAAAATCTCGTTTGAATTTTCCGTATAATAGGTTACCGAGTTAATAATCAACTTAAAAAAATGTTCAATCTATTGTTTTTCACAATTTTGTTGAATTATTTTCAAAATGTTTTCAGGTTAGGCTGTACATCGGAATTCATGATGCCCAATTCAACCACAGAAAAGTACAAATCCGATATATGCATAGAATACTGCCAACAAAGAATTATTAAGGGTAAGTACAAATGTTTCTCACACCTCTTAAGCATACCCGACGAAAGTTTCGATGATGGTATTGTGTGCGGTAACTTTAGTTTGGTTAGTAAGAGTTCGGATGAATCAGAAATGCTTAGTTATTTTTCGAACGCGTTCTCAAATTTGCTAAATTCTCTACTTCATTTGGCTTTCTTCGTTGCATATGAAAAACAGTGCAAAGATCAGTGTTTATTGCCATGCAGTGAGACAATTTACAATGCTTATTTAACATCAGCAACATGGCCTCAACCTTCGACGCAGCTTGATATGTTTAAAAAATATTTTGTCGACACTAGATGTATTGAAGATTCATGGATAAAGACCAGATACATAAACTATTTGAATGCCTACAACAAAGCCATCAACAGCAGTGATATTGAAACAGTTGATTCCAACTTGACGCAAATTTACGAATCTTTTCTTGAAATAAAATTTGTGATTAAGCAGAATTTTCCATTTTATCAGAGCGAAAGTTCCACTTACACGTGGGATGTGATGATTGGAACGGTGGGAGGAATGTTGTCCCTCTGGCTGGGGATAACAGTCGCCAGTGGGGTGGAAATCATTGAACTCTTCTACGTGCTTTTCAAACATTGCTGGCAGAAAAAAACTTCTTTGCCAATAACAAAAGAAAACAACAATACAAATAATAATACCACTAACCAATTTGATATGAAAGAAAGTTCGTCGCGAAAGTACCTATCGACAAAACGAGGTAATTACGAAATAAATTCACACAATGTATAAAAAATTAAATGGACTTTTGCTACAGAGCTTTTTAAACAATGTTATTATTTTATTATAAGTGTTTATAAGATTTTATGATGTGAAAAGTTCTCCTCGTATCGATCGTCAATACTTATTTAAACAAATTGATACTTGCACAGTTAAACATTGCACAATTAACGGACTTGTCAGTTAGCACATCACGTTAATTCAATGTTACTTTTCTATTAATTTGATTTTTTTGCTTGAAAATTTTTTCTTAAAATTGTTTTTATTTAATTTTGAATTTAGTTTAGTTTAAGACTCTAAGACATTAAATAGGACCACACTGAGCTAGCTCTGTGTCAAAAATCCTAAAAAAGATAACAGACTTAAGACTTTCTTCCTTATTTCTTTCTTGTGCCTTATCCTTTCAGGACATTGGCAACCATCGACCTCCACAAAACCCTATCTTTAACACTTTGTAGTAGTTGAAATGTGGTAATATTTAACAAGTGACACAAGGATTTCACGAATGTTATTCGTTGTTGAAAGCGATCTCTTTCCTTGCAATCTTTCCGGTAGTTGTTAGATTTTCCATTCTTTTATCTGCATGATGGTACCATAAGAAGAATTTTTTACACTTAAAGGTAGAAAATCCCATAGACGCATTGATAATGACAAAGTTGAGTGGATGAAAAAATTTGACTTAGGAGTTAAAAGGTAAAATTCAAGGTTTATACGAAAACGATCCCATCTTGAATTTATGAATGGAATAAGTTCACGAAAATAAATTTTGAAAAAAGAGAGTAACAAATGAAAAGCATACAACTGACTAAAGTTAAGTATATTCGCTAGATAATAATAGTGAGAAATGTGATCAAATTTACGTAAGTTAAATAAAATTTGAAAAAAAATAGTTATGAGCCAAAGTCAAAACGCGAACGTTAGAATTTGGAGCAGAATCCCAAACAGAGATACAGTAAATAATATAGGGAAAACAAAAAAATAATATTATGTATATAAAACAAATTTAGGAAGCTTAGATCTCACACGATATATTAGGCCCAGAATTTTAGTTAATTTAGATGAAATGTGCTTGATGTGAGAATACCAAGACTATATATATATATATATAGATATATATATATATATATATATATATATATATATAATATTGGCAATAGACCATAATTTTAAAAATATTCTATAAATTATTTATAAATGTAGAATTTATAGAATATTGTGATATATATATATATATATATTTTTACAATATTGTATAAATTCTACCGAATGTTTGGCGTTAATATGTTTGTAGTTCGTTTTTTCGATTTTTCTCACTAAAGTTTTTTGGCGAACGTTTAGTTTATTAAAATTCAAAATAAACTTATTTTTCGAATCCATGCTGCAAATAAGGCCA